GCCTAATCCCCGGATCTCTACATCTAGTTAGATCTAGTACGCATATAATATAATCACATATACAACAGCACTTGCTCGCATCTCAGGCAACATCGGCTAGCGGTGAAGTTACGGATTCCGTTTACTGTCACGCGCAAATAACAGCCGCAAATGCGGGAAACGTCAGCAAAATACAAAAACAGCAAAAACAACAACATGGCGGTGGCACGCGCACGCAGACGCGTTCACGAACGCGTCAAAACGGGCCGCGGAGCTGTCGTTCCGACGGTTGCTTTTTTTCGTTTAATAATCGCTGACGAGCTCAGACGATCGAATGCAGCACCGGAACTCTGCGTGTCAGCGCACGGTCACGGAAGCACATGCACGCACATGCACGCACGCACGCACGCATGTACATCTAAACGCACGCGCTCATATACACGCACATTCACGCACACGCGAATAGACATACACACGCATTCATTCACGCCCACACGCACGCACGCACGCATGTACGTCTTATCAAAAGACCCAATCTTCCGTCGCCGATGTTTTATGCGGCGAAAATACATATACGTGTTGCGTGCGTCACATCTCTGCTAGTGTGCTGCACTGCACTGCACTGCACTGCTGTGCTAGTGTACTGCACTGCACTGCACTGCTGTGCTAGTGTGCTGCACTGCACTGTACTGCACTGCTGTGCTAGTGTGCTACACTGCACTGTACTGCACTGCTGTGCTAGTGTGCTTCACTGCACTGCACTGCTGTGCTGTGCTAGTGTGCTGCACTGCACTGTACTGCACTGCTGTGCTAGTGTGCTGCACTGCACTGCACTGCTGTGCTGTGCTAGTGTGCTGCACTGCACTGTACTGCACTGCTGTGCTAGTGTGCTGCACTGCACTGCACTGCACTGCTGTGCTAGTGTGCTGCACTGCTGTTCTAGTGTGCTGCACTGCACTGCTGGCTGGCGTGGATATCACGACTCTAACTATGTCTCCTAAACACTCCCAACGTGCCGATGTGGAGGGCCATGTGTGTGAGGTGGTGTTGGTGGTGGTGGTGGTGTTGGTGGTGGGTGTTGGTGATTGTTGATGGTTGGTGTTGAGGGGTTGGTGGTGGTCGTAATCTGCTGCATGGTGTGTGTTGCGTGTTGCTGGCTGCGGCTGCTGCGTGGTGTGCGCTGGTTGGTGGTGTGAGTGCTGGCTTTGCTGTGTGCTGGGCTCTGGTGCTGGCTTGCTGGCTGGCGGGCTGGCTGCTGCTGCTGCTGCTGGTGGTGGTGGTGGTGGTGATTGTGGTGGTGTTGCTGTTGCTGTTGGTGGTGGTGGTGTTGCTGGGATTGGTGGTGGGGGTGCTGCTGCTGGTGGTGCTGTTGCTGTTGCTGCTGCTGCTGGTGGTGGTAGTGCTGCTGCTGCTAGTGGTGGTGCTGGTAGTGGTGGTGGTGGTGGTGGTGGTGGTGCTGCTGCTGCCGCTGCTGCTGCTGCCGCTGCTGCTTGTGGTGGTGATGCTGCTGCTGCTGCTGCCGCTACCGCTGTTTCGACGTACAATGCCTGATCGATATGCCAGGCAGCCACGTTTACACAGAATCGATGTGGTTAGATTGTCGAGAGCCGGGCAACGTTTCATACAGCCATTCAGCATAGAGGAACGGGAGAGGGGGAGAGGGGGAGAGGAGGAGAGGGGGAGAGGGAGTAAGTAGCTGCAATATATAATTCATGTCTTGATTGGGCCGACTCATTAGTACACCAGCGCGGGGAAGGCCACCGTGGGGGTGGTTGGTGTGTCGTGGAGGGGTGGGAGCACACACGCGCGCGCGCACGCATTCACCCACTCACTCACGTATGCACGCACGCACGCACGCACTGATGTACACATGCACGCGCAGGCACGCACACACGCGCGCGCATGCACGCATTTCCACTCACTCACTCACGTACGCACGCACGTACGTATACGCATTCACACGCATGCACACGCACCCACGGTGCAGTGATATTAGCTACTGCTCCACTAGTGACTTGACAAGGACGGTCTCGCAAGGCAAGGTTTTCGGTACATGGCAACGTTGGGACCACGCATCTACTGACTTCAAACGCCTCCAAGGCAGAGCCCCTAGTTGGTTCTTAACGAGAGCCAGTCTAGGACCTGCATGGAGACATCGAGGGGAGAGATCGACGCAAAAAAAACCGAATAGGTGAGAATCACTCGAGAGCTTTCCTCATAGCTGCTAATACCACCCGACACCTCCCACGCGCGCGCCTTTTCCCATTCCATTTCCCATTACATGCTGGTCAACGAAATGACCCACTTCCGATGCCGGGCAATCAAATGACGATGCATCAACTTAATGCAATGTATAATTTAGGTGTATTACAGTCGCATACAATCGCTATCATTTGTCATGTTAACGGCCTGGGTTAGAGAGCAGCCAATCCCACAGTGCTACAATGTAATAATCCACGCTGCATAAATGATATTTTTCCAGTTTCCGGGAAAAACGTTGCATTGACACGAAAGGAACAACTGCAAACGAAGCAAAGTATTGGACCAAATGTATTGGGCCAAAACGTAATACTGGGCACTAAAATACCGGACGGTAAACACTGTGGATAATAGAAAGAAAATTGATCGAAGCCCCCACGATGTTTGTGTTCGAATCCCTAACGTATCCATAAATGTATCGTCAAATTCTTACCTGATAAGATTGTTTCTCAACTAGTTAAAAATGAAAAAAAACCTGGCCGATTTGATATTATGAACCTGATATTAATTGCTTGCTATGGGCTATGTATGAGTCACGAGTGTATGTTTACATCAAACTATATAGTAAAACAGAAAATATAATGCAGCAATTTAACCATAAAAAGCGAACACTTTTGTGTTGCGAGTTACTTACAAAAGTGGAAATATTTTTTTTACTTTTACTATTTACGGTGACGTAATCACTTTAAACCTTGTTGTCACACTAGACATACCCGGCACATCCCACGAAGTTTTCTCTGACTGTCTGTCGCAACCATAGAAATATATAGAGACACTATATAGTCTATCTATATTATGTTGTCTATGGTCGCAACAATGGCTAAGTAAGGCTCATAGGGTCCATGTCCTCCAGGGTACTATCGGAGGGTACCCTGGGTACGGTCCGGTCCGGTATACTGGAACGTACCCTGGTAACTATCTGATATGGTTAGGGTTAGGGAGTAGGCGTAGGCGACTCCCTAGACTCGTTAGTGGAGTAGGCGAGGTACGGTTCGGCATATTAGATAGTACCAGGGTACTAGTTCCGGTATACCGGACCGTAACCAGGGTACGTTTCGGCCGTACCCTGAGGGACAAAGACCCTATGAGCCTAAATAAGAGCAGAGGTTTCCCCCGATTGTCTGCATGCCAGGACAATGACACCCTCGCTAACAATGGCAGCATCTAATCAATCCCTATGTAACTATCTCTGGCTATTGCAATGGCTGACAGCGTTTCTACGCATTCGGCTGTCACTATACTATGCCTATCACTCGTTCAAAATCGTATACTTAATTAATGTCATTTATGATCATGCGCCACTTTGAATTGTGAGGGAACAATTTGCAGGTTAGAGGTCGAAATTGCAGGTTAAATCTGCAGGTTCAAATCAAATCTGTAGGTTAAATTTGCAGCTCAAATGTTATTTTTAATTAAACTTGCAAATAAGCAGAAACATACGAAAAATAGGCAACAACCCGAACTAAAAGTCTGCAAGTGCAAGACTGCGATCTTGTGCGCTGCTCAGGTTGCCATCTGTTTCAGAGTCCACATGTCTCAACACACTTACGTTTCGAAAGTTTAATAACCAGCTTCGTTCGGCAGGTTGAAACTGCAGATTTGACCTTCCACCATAAATCTGTCTCCTTCCTTTTGAATTTAGAATTTTGTAAATCTTGTGGCTTATACCATTGCCAGGTCTCTCTCATTGTGTGAGTGCCTAAACCCCTCACTGCGCTCATGCATGTGCTTCCACACACGATTTCGGAACCACATATATACAGAACTACACTAATTAACATTAAAGTACACCGAATTAATCTGAGCATAGACGTCCACATGGCTTTTGCATATTCGTGCTTTTAAGTTTACGCTAGTATTTTTGCGGCTATCACCACACGCAGCCGAAAGCGGCTGTAGCTTAATATGTCCAATCAGCTATGGTTTAAATCTATTCCTACGTGTAATTGCCGTCCTAATTAAGAAGAATCGTTAGACTCAACGAGTAGAATACTGTGTGAGACGTGGAATGTAATAACGCAAATAAGGTCTATGTCTCCCTGACCTCTGTTTGACCTGGCTCGTTTAGCTATTTCCGACTAATATATATATATAGTATATGATAGTATATATTAATAGATAATATTAATATGGTTAGGGTGAGGGTGGGGAATGGGGAGGGAAGGGAAGAGGGCGGTGGAGGTAGTTATGGATAGCTAAAAGCAGTGCGAGTCATTGTGTTACTAGCAACGAAATTCATGGTTAACGCCTCCTCTTGAAGTCAGATAGGGTTATCGAGACACTTACTGCTTTTGTCACGTCACAGAAAACGGTAGAGTTTCATGTCCTTTCAATAAAGTGATAAAAACGTAGGTCAGCGCTGAAACAAAAAAGTTTTGCACTCGGTCCGTTAGACCATGTCCTCAGAAAATGTCTGATATCTAACCTTCCCCCACTGCCCTTTGACCTGTGACCTCTAATTTCGCACTGGTGATGGGTTTCCTTCCCATCACACTATACATCGAATATTAAGAGCATAGGTCGAGCCGTTAAGATTTGTGCCGCAATTCCGTATTTCCTCCTATACCTTAAGTTAAGGGGGAAATATTCTCCCTCCATTGACACATCTTGACCTTTGACCCTTGACCCCCAAATTCAACATCCCGAGTCCTTTTCGCGATCCCCCCCGACGTCCCGAATATCAAGATCGTACGTCGCGCGGTTAAGATTTGTGCCGTAACTGTTGACGCACGGACGGACGGATGGACGGACGGATGGACGAACATTCATGCGATTCTACAAGCTGCATCTGACTTCGTCAGCTGCGCTTTATAATAAGGTTATAAATTTGAATTAACACTGCTCAACCTACACATCTGTTCTCTGTCCCCCACCTACTTAACACCACGTACTCTTGGTATCGGGCACCATTTACGGTTGCAGTTTGTGTGGGTAAGTAAAAAATTTCCTACGCTCGTAGGCGTCGCAACTCTAGCCCAACAAAATATTTGCTGCGCTCAATGGTTGGCATGGCAGCCATCACCAAACAAAACAACAATGGCTGCACACACTTGACACATGACAACCCTAACATGACGTATTACGGTATTATATAGCAATTTAGCCACGGCAGCTGCCACTAATCATCGAGCTGCAACGACTGGCGCATTAGCAAGCCAGCACACGTGACCCTTGCATGAAGAAAACTTAACAGTCGAAGCGCGGGCACTCAGAACTCATCATGTAGACCAGTAGTCACAATATAGTAGTCACAAGACAAGTCACAGCAGACCCATAGACTGCCGACGGCCCCGTCGCGCGACTACGCCCGTGTACTGGCTAGGACGCATCGGCACCAGTCTGCATGCGGGAATGTGAATCCAACCGAGGTGATGCCTAGCACAGATAGACGCACGATGTCTCTTCTCAGCTTTCTCGCCAGGAAGCCGTGTTTGTTGCAGTGAAACCGGCCCCCCTTTAACGAGATAAAACGAGATAAAACGAGATCGGATTCTGAAAACCGCATGCACGCAAAATCCTGCGAGGTGGGGCCTTCGCCCGTCACAACAAACTAACGACGACGCATTGCCACGTGTTCACGCGTGAAACCGTCGTCATGACGACCGCATTAACAGCAGAAAGAGGATTCACGACCATGACATCAACTTGGGCTTGGAAGTACCCGCTTAAAATGAAAACTGTACACGTGTAAAAAAAAACACTGAGTGCTTCAACTCGACGATTTTAACGAGCAAATTATTTTTCGCGCAACATGCAAGAACAAACAATTTAACAAGTCACACCGATATCTACAATAAAAGCACCGCGATAACGGAGCACCTGAATTGTGCATACAAACATTGTTACGTTGTTGGTAACTACTAAAAAACAGCAACAACCGCTCTCTCCTGAATTGCGAATAGGAAGAACGGACAAGGCTTATACTTATTGCATTGTTTGCATTATCTATGTTAAAATGTCATCAACAACAGCAGTCCGTAATTGTGCATACGATGACGCAATATGATTTATAGTTATCACAGTTTCGCGGTCACACCCTCGGCAGATGCTGCCTGCCACAGGTCGAGTTGATCTCGCAGCGCCCTCTTCAGGCTATCATAGAACTGAGAGCAGCTCGTGTCAGCGTCTGCCGTGAATCGGCTGATGTAGAAGACGAACCTGGAATGCCAGGTGAATGGTGAGCACGTGATGAGGGCAGCAGGTGAGACCAGGGGTAGAAATTAACTTTTGAACAACGAACTCCCTACACTCAAAAAGAGGGAGTCCGCAGCAAAAAGAGGGAGTCCGCAGGCTGAAGTTCAAAATGAAAGATATTAACAATAACGCATGTGCTTCTTTTGAAGATTCATGCGGTTGCATGTCTGCCAAATTTTCTTTGGACATTTGCTGAAAAAATACGGTAATTCCGCGAGGCCGTGCTCCGGAACGAACAAGTTAGTATAGCAGAATTTTCATGGCATCACACGGACTCCTGCATATGTCAAATCAGGGAGTCCGACAGTAAATCAGGGAGTATTTGACTCCGGACTCTCTGTGAGACGAAGGCTTAGGCGCTGTAGCAGCTACGACACACAATCTGGTTTGAATTAGAACGCTTAGCAAAGATCATTAACAGATGATTATTATTATTATTATAATTAGTAAATATATAGTTGTGTAAATATAGTGATAGGTATGATATCATCAGGAGATCTATATCTCTATATCTCTATGAGGAGTGAATAATAATCTCTATTATTCACTTCTGATAACATCAACAGATACACGGCACTATATCATGGCACGAATCTGAATCCTAGAGTTTGAAGACTAATCCACGTGGATTTCTGACTTCACAGAAAACAAACAGATCCGCTTATAACAGTGTATAAACACGACAAATCCGTACGGATGAATAAATTTTAATCTGAGATTTGAATAAGCGTACAGTCACACTTTGGAAAAAAACATGAATATTCAAAGATATGTACATGCATAAATCATGCATGTTTCTTGCATGTTTCATGCATAAATAATCGAATATAATACCCTGCCCAGACTAGTATTTTTGTGACTGTTTTGCACATAAAACGTGAATGAATTATTATGCATAAATTTTCATGTACCAAAAGCGAAACCGTTTTCGTCCAACAAACTCAGGGACTGCAAAATAAAAATTAATGGATGATACATAAACAGTATATTCTCTGGAACCTGCCACCCATGAAATAACCTATGGACAATTCCACGTATGCGCCATAAAAAAATCTTAAACATGAACAAGACATTTCCTTTAATTATTCTGCATAAAACATGAAATGTTTTTGTGTTTTTTTCCAAGAGGATATGTTTATGTTTATGTGTTTATGTTTTTTTGCATATATATATGCATGTGACCTCACTAGATAGGGTCATTAGCTTACTTTTCGTCGTTGGTGCGGTAGAAACATCCGTAGCCGTTGCTACACATTGGACCGACGCCGCCGCTCACGGTCGTGTATCCCACCCAGCTAGTCGACAGCGTAAAGTTGCCACCTCCACCGCTGCAGGTAGAGAAATGTTGGATGAGAAAGGTGTATGTGTATGTGTCTCTCTCTCTCTCTCTCTGTGTGCGTGCGTGCGTGCGTGCATGTGCGCGTGCGCGTATCTGTGTGTGTGCGTGCGTGCGTGTGCGCGTGTGCGTGCGCGTATCTGTGTGTGTGTGTGTGTGTGTGTGTGTGTGTGTGTGTGGTCGTGTGTGTGCATGTGTGCATGTGCGCGTGTGCGTTTGCGTGCGTGCGCGTGTGCATTTTCGTATGTGTCCGTGCGGGCATGCGCATGCGTGCGTGCAAGTCTGACATGGAATAGACGTTTCTGTGGTACAGAAGAGAATTGCTGTTGTATAGAATATAGGTTTTTGTGGTAAGGATTGCAGGCTTTTTTTTAAAATTTAATAGGGAAAATAAATAGGGATTTCTACAATACAATATATGGGTTTCTATGGCATGTAATGGGGTATTACTCTGATGAGGATGAAATGCGATTTTCTGTGGTGTATATTATTGGTTTCTCTGGTACGTAACAGCAGTGAAAAAAATACACGGGGGCTCGGGGCGATTTAGCCCCCGAAATGGCAAAAAGAGCCCCGGAAATGCCAAAAAGAGCCCCCGTAAATTTGCATAGAGTTCAATGCAAACCAAATTTTAGAGTGCTATTTTCATGCACGCGAGCTTGAAAAGTAGCCCCCAAAAAATATATATTAATTTTTTCCGTGCGTAACAGGGGATGGTTGTGTAGAATACAAGACGCAATTCGGATGTGAGTATAGCAGCATTTGTACGTTGGATAGAGCAGCAGGTTAGCTATCATATACCTTTTACTCCACGACGGGTCCGTGTACAATTGCGGTATGGGAAGTCCCTCCTCCATGGCCAGACAGTAGAGGCCGAACAGGTGGCGGTCGCACCCCTCTCCATTCATCGCCTCCCTCATTAGCTTAGCCTGCTTCTCCCTGGCACGTCTCAGCAAGGAAAGCTTCGTCTCGAACTGCCCCAAAACAAGAGGCATGTTAGAATGACGCGAACACAAATACCAAAGTAAGTCGGTTTAAGGAATCGGACATTAGATTTACGTGTGAACATGCATTACATATGAATTTTAGATTCTATAGTATCATGAACATATACATAGGTATGATTCTACATATTATAGAGAT